TCCACGCCCCCGACCCCTGCAGTCCTGAAAAGAGCATCCGTTGGAGCGTTGTGAAGGGCGAAATGGTCGTCCAACATATTCTGGCACTCTCGAATACACGACACTAGAGAAGCACATGCTCGTATTTCCCATAACGCGACCGTCTGATGATGCACGTCGAGCCCAAATGCGAGACCTGTCTTGCACGCCGCCACATTTGCAAGGGTACGTCTTAATGCGAGGTGCATCCCGCGATACACACAGGCCCCAGATGAGAACCGACAAGAGCGACTGGACCACGACACAATAGAAGTTTCCCGCGCGGCTTCCAGCTGAGCCTCTAACTCCTGGCACTGATTTTCAAGACGACGGCGGCGCCTAGCCTCTGCAACGAGCTGGCGTCGAGCATCACACAACATCTCACGGACGTTCCCAATTTCACTGACAGGCACGGCAGGCACGACAGGCCCACCAACCCCGCCGGGAGCGCCAGGGTCACCAGGATCAGGATCCCCCTGGTCGTCCTGGCGGCGGACCTTGTCCCTGATGCCCACGTCGATGACTGGGCAGCGGGGGGAGGGGCAGGGTGAGCATCCAATGCGTTCCAATCCTCCTCCTCCTCCTCCTCCTCCTCCTCCTTCTCCTCCTCCTCCCTCCTCCGTCCTCCCTCCTCTTCCTCCTCATCATTTTTTTCCTTCTCCTCCCCCTTTCCCCTCCTCCTCAAACGCTCCCCCACTCTTCCCTCCTGGTGCCTACACGCGCGTTTCAATTGCAGCGCGCGCATGTACAATGCATACGCCACAACACGCATAGCCCACGACAGCGACAAGACAGCACACAACAACAACAACAACAAAGGGAGGAAGAGGAGGGCGCAGGCATGGGCGGCCTGCACGTAGAGTATCCCATTCGTCCGCGCCCAGGACGATCCCCATCCTGGCCAGCAGGTGAGGCACCACGTCGAGGCTCCACAGGGGTCGCCTGCGCGTGCTCTGCGGGAGCCTGTGCGCCATGCGGTTGGGAAAAATATTGCGGAGCTTCTCCATTGTCATGTCTTCTATGTCGCTCAGATCCTGGAAGCACATCGCGAAGCCCAACATGTTCTCGAGGGCTGGCGTTCCATCGTTGGAAAGAGTGCCAAACCAAATCAATGTTTGGTGAAGGCGAACGCCCAAAGGGAGCGCCATCTCGAGAGAACAGGCTGCGGCCTCCGTGTCTTCTCCCCTCTGTGCTCCGAGCGCGGACGGGTCGCGGCGTGCCCTTCTATCCGCCTGTTGTTTTCACACACACACACACACACACAAGGTTTCCAAAATTTGGTTCGCACGTATTCTCAGACTCCTACTTTATCAGGAAATGTCATGTCGTGGCCTCTTGGGGGTCATGCTGAACGTGCCATATACACACGCACGAAATAATGATGCATTGCGCGGAACAACATACTACGCACAGCCCAAGCATAGCTCAGCACAGCCGAAGCATAGCACGCAATAACATGATGGCTACGAAAATCACATCCATAAGCAAGCAGATTGCATACCTCAAGAAAAAACACAATACTCCACCAAAAAAATCAACTCACAAAAAATATGATATATAACAATTTTCGGTTACGTGTAGCAACGCGCCATGCTGTCAAGGGGGATCGCAACCATGCTGTAGCCAAAAATACCATTATCATATCGAAATCCTCATTGCACTTGCGGAAATAGATATGTTGTTTTTTTTGAATAGGTTCTGTCTGCTTCAAGGGAGGCGAAACGTAGAAGGAATCCTTCAACGCTTGGTGGTGCCTACAACGAATAGGTGAGCCATCAAAACCATACCTTTTCTCATTACTACGGCTCCTTGGGGGGCTGCGGAGTGCGCAACTGTCGCCACGTTCGTGGGTTCCTGGGAGGTCCCGCGGAGCGGAGGGCCACGCAGACACTGCAGAGACCTCGCGGCTCCCTGGGGGGCTGCGGAGTGCGCAACTGTCGCCACGTTCGTGGGCTCCTGGGAGGTCCCGCGGAGCGGAGGGCCACGCAGACACAGCAGAGACCTCGCGGCTCCCTGGGGGGCTGCGGAGTGCGCAACTGTCGCCACGTTCGTGGGCTCCTGGGAGGTCCCGCGGAGCGGAGGGCCACGCAGACACTGCAGAGACCTCGCGGCTCCTTGGGGGGCTGCGGAGTGCGCAACTGTCGCCACGTTCGTGGGCTCCTGGGAGGTCCCGCGGAGCGGAGGGCCACGCAGACACTGCAGAGACCTCGCGGCTCCCTGGGGGGCTGCGGAGTGCGCAACTGTCGCCACGTTCGTGGGCTCCTGGGAGGTCCCGCGGAGCGGAGGGCCACGCAGACACTGCAGAGACCTCGCGGTCCCTGTGGGCAGATGTCGCGGCTCAGTGCGCAACTGTCGCCACAGTGGGCGTGGGCTCCTGGGAGGTCCCGCGGAGCGGAGGGCCACGCAGACACTGCAGAGACCTCGCGGCTCCTTGGGGGGCTGCGGAGTGCGCAACTGTCGCCACGTTCGTGGACTCCTGGGAGGTCCCGCGGAGCGGAGGGCCACGCAGACACTGCAGAAACCTCGCGGCTCCCTGGGGGGCTGCGGAGTGCGCAACTGTCGCCACGTTCGTGGGCTCCTGGGAGGTCCCGCGGAGCGGAGGGCCACGCAGACACTGCAGAGACCTCGCGGCTCCCTGGGGGGCTGCGGAGTGCGCAACTGTCGCCACGTTCGTGGGCTCCTGGGAGGTCCCGCGGAGCGGAGGGCCACGCAGACACGGCAGAGACCTCGCGGCTCCTTGGCATCGGAGTGGAGGGCCACGCAGATCCGGCCGAGATCTCGCGTCTCCCTGCGCACGGAGGGGTGCGCCTGCACACTGCGGGTCCTTCACCAGACTAGTTCGTATTGAACAGTCCCGTGCAGAGCCGCAGCAAGCTTCGAAATAGTTGGGCACTTCGCAACGATTCCTTCCATTCTGTAAGAAGCCCTCTCCAGGGCTCCTCCTTGTTCTCCTCCTTCTCCTCCCTGGCCCCCTCCTCTCTCATCCTCCCCCAGGTGCCCCCCCGAGGGTTTCCACAACGGCCGGGGGAACACATAGCCAAGTAGCCCAGCCAAGCCCTGACCCGACGTTTGGCCACCCCAGTGCTACCAAAGGGCCGGGGGGCGGCCAAGTGACTCGCCGCAGGCGTTTCTTCTGTTATTGCCCCACGGCGGAGATCACTCGCCAAACGCCGCGACGGTGGCGTTGTAGCAGGCCATCCACTCCTTCGGCTCCTCTTTTTGTTAACTTAGCTGCTTGTTGTTAGCTTACTACTATACTTAGTATATTGATATGTTGCTCACGCCTTCGGTGAGAGGCGGGGATTTATCCATATCCACCGCCTGGGAAACGACGTCCTCGTGCCCCTGCGGGCGGTGGATATGGATATATTTCGGCCCCCGGGGCCCGAACATGTCCATATCCACTGCCTGCCGAGGCTCCGAAAACTGACCCTCCAGGCGGTGGATATGGATAAACTCCCACCTCGGATTCGGCTCCTTGAACGGGTGAATGGCGGGCATGGCGACGGTGGAGCAGTCCGGCAGCCAGCGGAGGTCCTTGGCGTGGCTCGGCGGGCGCCGCGACGCGCAGCAGGCGTCGAAGCTCACGTCCACGCCGTCGAGGCGCCCCACGCCGTGGAAGTCCATGCACTTCTGGGCGAACATGTCCTGGCCAGGGCTCGACCAGAACGGTGTTCTTCGGCTTCGCTTTGTTTTCGTTTTCCCTCGCTTTGTCTTCGCTCCGCCCTCGCTGCAAAACGAAGTCAGAACGAGAAAACGGTCCACGATTTCGCCAGAACACCGTTTGGGTCGAGCCCTGGTCCTCGCCCATGGGGATGGGCAGCATGTCTAAGCAGCACTCCTTCCACGAGATGCGCACGTCGACCTTGCAGGAGTCGATGTCTGGCGGCGCACAGGCGGGGAGTGGGCGAGGGAAAGGGGCTTCACAGAAGGCAGGCTTTTGGAGAGGGTGGGGCAGAGGCTCTCAAAAGGGGCCCTCTCAGAAGGCAGGACGGTGCCGCGGAAGCCCTGTCTCCGCAGAGGGCCCCCCCCTCTCGCCAGGCCCCGCCCGTGCGCGCCGCCAGGATGTTCCTGAGGAGCGTCGTGAAGGCCTGGCGCGAGAAGACCTCCAGGTTGCCGAAGAAGGGGTGGGCGGCACCCGGGCAGGTCGCCACGTAGACACCGTTGTCACCGACGTGCACGTCCCTGATCAGCCGCCGCAGGCGCGCCGGCACGAAGACCGCGTCGGCGTCCGCCTTCACGACCCAGGCGGCGCCCGAAGAGGAGATCCCGCGCGCGGCAGCCTTCCAGACCTGAGAGTAGAAGCCCGTGTTGATCCACGCTCCTGTGGGTTCCCCTCCTTTGTTTCTCTCTGGACATGCAACAAGAGCACGCACCCTCGACAACAAGCGTCTCGCATCTCACGCATCAAATCGCACTGCAAATCCAATCGCTTTGCCACTGCAGTCACGAGAACCGGCACGAGGAGAGAGCATGAGAGGAGGAGGAGGAGGAGGAGGAGGAGGAGGAGGAGAGAGCATGAGAGGAGGAGGAGGGGGAGGAGGAGGAGGAGGAGGAGGAGGAGGAGGAGGAGGAGCTCCTGTCATCTTCCTCTTCTGGTAGAAGAAGTCGCCGTCCACGTCCTCGACGAGGCCGAAGGCCGCGCCGCCTCGCAGCGAGACGTTCCTCCGGTTGGTGAAGAGCCCCGTCCAGTCGCAGGCGAAGACCCCGACCTTCCTGTCGAAGGCCACCTGCAGGAGCTCGTTCTCACAGAGGAAGACAGAACGGCACAGACATAAGCTCTCGCATGTCCGCGAGCACTTCTCGTATCGGCGCCGGGCCCCCCTGGTGGCGGCTCCGGCACCGCCCCTGGCGCGCTGCGCGCGCCAGGGAGGAGGGCCCAGCGCCGACCCGAGACATCCGCGCGGAGCTTCGAAAGGTGACGGTTGTGCTGTCTGCTGTCCCTCCAGCTCAGTGGCCACGCCACCGCCGCCCCAGAAGAC